GAAATGACGGATCATATGTTCAAATTATGTTATACCAGTTAATTATCTCACTCAAATGATATTATGGGATACAAGAAATACAATATAGCTTAACTAACACCCGTCACCTCACCCGTACACTTACATTGTTCACAGTTGGTCCCTTGATAGTTGGTGGCGCATTGGCAAGTATAGTAACCAATGCGATCTAGACATAACCCGTCATTTTGACACGGAAAACTTGCGCATTCGTTAATCTCTAATAAATTTCAACAATACTGACATTGACAATGGTGAACAGGTGTACTTGGGATGCAAACACACATATACTAAGCTAAAAACAGTAATAATATCATTTCATAAGCACGTATCGTAAATTGTTGCTAATTAAATGTACATCCCACTGGTAGAACCGACCGACTGCGTTCTACGTCGCTATCAGACTACTTACTTTCTTTCGCAGATTATAACAGTTCAAAATAATTAGCAGGTAAATTAAAGTGAGTTGCCGATTGTAATGACGATAAATATGAACGGATGAGTTTACAGGCTTTACGAGATGGTCTTGTTTGACTTTGGTCTTCACGAGTACTCACCTGTGAAGCAGTTGAAACCGGAATAACCTTGCAAACAATCACATCGATAACTCGTTGGGAGGTTATTACACGTACCACCGTTGTAGCAAGGATTACTGGAGCAGTAGTTGATCTCTGAAAGTCGAGGGATTATTAAAGGTTTGTGAATTTACATTGACATCCAGTTATATAGTGATCTTCTATAGATTTACAGCATACGTCCTCAGTTAGGAACCACTTGAAACACAACGCTTAACGATATTTTCTTGAATTCTTCATGGCATTTATTTACCATATCTTATTTTAGATGAGTTCTGGTCTAAATTACACCATTAGATACATATTCGATGATTATTTTTTTCAAGATGATATCTATACTGTCTCGTTGAACAGATTTTACTTACTGATTTCACAAAATGTACCCGTATATCCTTGACCGCATACACACTGGAAGAATGTGTTTTGTTGGTTGACACACTGGCCTCCGTTTTGGCAAGGGTTGCTGTTACACGGATTCAGAACTATGAATTAAAAAAAACTGATAGTTTGAGTGGTGTATGGCAAGTAAAGTGAAAAGTGAACAGACTTATATATCGTCCAATTTAATTGTTATCGACGGACCTCTCCAAAAGCTTGACTTAACGACCACGAAAGTGTATAGTTGTTAGACATATAGTTGTTAGAGTATATACTGGCACACTCGTTTTAAGATTGGCGATGGCAGACAAACGATGACAGATAAACTTCATTGCTCGGAATTTGTGAATAGTTGTCTAATGCGAAAGCATGATTACCTTCTTCGCACGTGGTTCCTCCGTAATTTGCTAAGCAAATGCATCTGAAATCCGAGATCAAGTTGATGCAAGCTCCGCCATTACGACACGGGAAACTGTCACACGCGTTCAGTTCTGAAACATGAGCAAAATCAATGAGTACAAACTAAATGATAGATAATTGTGAAACATTAACAGACAGTGTTGCCACTAACCCGTCACCTACCAAATGCTCCAAAGCCAATCAAACCTTAAAACACCAAATATCGACGAGTTATTTCAGAACACCAATTTCGTTACCTGTCTCGCATCTAGTCCCGGTGTATCCGTACGAGCAAGAGCACAAGTAATTCCCGGCATCATTGATACACACTGCCCCATTTAAACAGGGACTGGACGTACATGGATTGATTTCTGATGGAAGATTCAATAATTTGATGTCGTGATTTTTATATATATCAGTGCAGAAAAAAATACATAGACCATATTACCCATAAGCTATGTAGAATTATTAAAATATTCATCTTATTCATTTAGCGTGATTTAGTTACTTAGGGTAAACCACCCTATTTATACCATTATTGATTCAACCCTTAAATAAAACTGAAAGTATACATGACGAACGATAAGGTAACCTTTGGCACATGGTAGAAATTGCCTTCCGGGAGTCACCCTATTTTACACATGTAAGATGAATTACCTTTATGAAGTGGGTATTATGGAAGTTGATGGAATCGGCCTACAATATAGTGTAGAGCACTGTTTAATTGTCATAATTGACAGCATTTACTTCCAGTTAATTTTGCGGGTAAAACTCTTGAATCTCTCATAAATGTTCATATTTTTCCTGAAAGTTTCCCTTGATGGAATTACGTTTGGATGTGAACATGTTAAATATCAGGACACACTAAGAATATACCATATTCTAGACAGGCAAAAATGTGTTTGGACATACATAATGGTCTTAATCATTGAACCATTCAAATTGATACTGCAAGGCAACAAGTAACAGATTAACAGTTCAAAACATTCGGCGTGAATGCTACAGGCATGCATACATCGTCACGGTGAATCTGGCATGCACATGCCGTGAATCTTGCATGCATTGACCTTAAATCTCGCATGCATACGCCGTGAATCTTGCATGCACACGCCGTGAATCTCGCATGCATACGCCGTGAATCTCGCTTGCTTACGGCGCGAATCTCACATGCTTACGCAGTGAATCTCGCATGCACACGGCCGTGAATCTCACATGCCTGCGCCGCGAATTTCGCATGCACAATCCGTAAATCTCGCGTGCACACGCCGCGAATCTTGATGCACACGCCGCAAATCTCGCATGATTACGCCGTGAATCTGGCATGCATACGCCGTGAATCTTGCATGCACACACCAGGAATCTCGCATGCTTACGTCGCGAATCTTACATGCATACGCCGCGAATCTCGCATGCATACGCCGCGAATCTCGCATGCATAGCCATGAATCTTTCATGCACTCTAAGAATACATAGCTATACACAAAGCAAAATAACTCCATGCAATACCTGTTTCACAATATGTCCCGGTCCACGAAGACTGGCAGGAACACGTGAACGAATCATAGTTATTCAAACACAGACCATTATTCCTACATGGATTGCTATTGCATGGGTTGATTTCTAGAATATTGAACAAACACATGTTATCCGCAAAAAACAGAAATGATTAAACTCAAACTATGTACAGATAACAAATGTATAACATTTAGTATTCAATTTCGTTACATGCAGTAACCATTAGATAATAATCTGTTTCATACCTATTAGGCAATTCTGCCCCGCCCATGCTTGCCCACACTCACACGTGTAGTACGTGATTCCATTGATGCATATCCCACCATTTTTACACGGATTACTCTGGCATGCATTTATTTCTGTTTATAGAGAAAAAAACAAACAAATCCTGTTAGATTGGGTTGAACTCGCAATATATGGATGCCACGCGATTGGTGTGTTGATAAGAACGTAGATGTTATTTTGATAATAAAATTACACCTTACCTATTTGGCAAAGACTGCCTGTCCAACGCGCCGGGCACCTGCATTCGAATGAAGTCAAACTATTGATACAAGAACCGCCATTTTGACAGGGACTACTGAGGCATGGATTCACCGCTGATAATAAAGGAACGATTAAGGAGTTATTAGACAATTTGAATATTAAGGTTATTGTCATAGTTTATTTGTCAATCTTTCAAGATAATGTTTAATTTTGAAAGTTGTCGCACATAATTAAGAATTATTGATGTACGCCAATCAATGCCACGATAGAACCAGAAAAAAAACGTGCTCCCATTGCATGGCAAAGTTTTTTCATGTGATATGTTGTGTAAATTGGTAAGTAACTTAGTAAGTACACTTTCACATATAAACTAAATTTATGAATATGTAGTTCCCATTCGTTCTAAAAAGGTAAAACCATGACGTGTTTTGCGCGGACTGATATACTTAGTTTATGTACATCCAACTTGTACAGTAATGACCAATTACAATGATCGAGTCTAACAACTTATGGGGTAAGTTGTTCGCTGCCGTATACTTACGCGAATCACAAATAGTACCAGTAAAAGTCGATGGGCAGCTGCACCGGAACTGTGTGGTCCCGATGTTAAGGCACGTACCACCGTTCAAACACGGGGCACTGTTGCACGGATACACTATCACTTCGCAGTGATGTCCAGAGTAGCCAGTGAAACAGACACACACGTACCCATCGCCGTCTACTGAACACACTCCGTTCTCACAGGGTGAATTACTACAAGGATGGGTAGGACCTAGGTACAAATATGTAGCGAGTTAACATGCGTCGACTGTATGGAAAGTTTGGATAATATACACCCATCGTCTTATCTTATTTCGTCATTCTCGTGTGTCAGAATAAAATCTTACATATTCGTATTTTCAGAAAAAAGATTAAACAATTAAAAAGCCAAAAACACGTGATACGTGAAATACGTTTACAGGAAATTTGATCGAGTTACCACGTGACGAAGTACATCATACACCTTAAAGCGGGAGGGTCGTCATCTGCGCACGCACGAGAATTGAGTCCCAAGCGATTATAACAACACACGCTAAGAACGCAAAGGCTCATGGGTAGGCGCTTGTTTGTAAACAATGACACGCTATGGCCACCCGACGCATGCGTAGGTGACGACCCCCTACGCTTCAACAACTGGGAGTCGAAATAAGATAAAACTATTTAAATACTAATCGAGTGTGCACTCTACTTTAGCGCGAGCTTTAACATAAATTATAAACAATAGATTTAGGACATCCATTACAAGCAACCATTGAGCAAGCTAAATTTAAAAAAAAGGAGAACTTATAAAAAGAAATAGCAATTAGTGAAGGTAGTATACGTAATATTGACCCGTAATTGATTACATTAATGGAGGTGAAATAAGTCACAATTTACATAATCATACGCAGGTGGCGATACGCGACAAATGTGCATTTATATAGCATCGTCTGCTACACATTAGCGAATACTGAAAAATAAACGTAGTTATTATTATTCCAGCAGGTTTTCCGAAATACAATTTCATTTAAATCGTACTTGTGACATGCGTAGTTTGTCACCGCCACAAAGAAGTAGATAAAAAGTTTGAGATGGGTCATTATATAAAGCGTTTATATTTATATTATAGTCAACGCTTCAAACTTAAACAGAGTTCGTTTATATTCCATGTGCTGATCGAGTCTAAAATGTATTAATATGAATTGCCGTTTCTTTAGCAAACTCTATTTTACAGAAATAATGACCAACCCCAGACTGCCCACAAAACGCACGTGCACTAGTGGATGTTTGTTTCTAAAGGTAGAACACCAAAGTGAAACAAAACAGGTAAATAATGGTCCTTCACCATATTACCAAATAGGCCATATAATTATTAAACCTACTAATTTCACATCGTTGGCCGACAAAATCCCCAGCACATACGCAAACAAAGCCGGAGTGCTGTTGTTCCGCAAAACACATGCCTCCATTCCGGCATGGATTGCTGCTACACGGGTTATTCGTCCCTGTAAGATCAATCATCATGGCAATGTCACGTTGTCGCCACATTACCGTACAAACATATTGACATTACGTAATAGCAATGCCAAGATACTGAAGTGTTATTTTCGATTCTCGTAGTATACATTAGTATCAGTATGGCACATCGATGACACAGATACAACTCAATGCAAATGAAACAAATGGGTGAAATGTGATATTTTTATAAAAAAATTAATGAAATTAATTCCAGTAATGCAACATTTGAATCACTGCTACAATAATAATAATAATAATAATAATAATAATAATAATAATAATATACTGGTTAGTTTTAACTAAAAAAATACATGTTAGGTCTTATATGTGACAATATGACACAATATTGTTGACACGAGGGTCATACTTTGAGTGACCTGATTAGTACTTGCGTGACGGAGAAAATCTTGTCAACTCTCCAACATAGGAAAGTAACGTTATCCCATCTTGCAATGTCAAAGTGTAATGTCTTAGCTATGTCCAGCCCACCCAAATGACACATAAAGCGAAAGAAGATCAGCCAATCTGATGAACAATTATTGTGGTGCAATTATGGGTATAATTATGTTACCATATCAACTTGAATAACTTACCAGCTTCCACGTCGCAATTGACTCCTGTCCACCCTTCACTACAATGACAAGTGTAATCCGTAGTTCCTGTGCTAGTGCACATACCATTCACACATGGACGTGACGAACACGGAGTTTGGTCTATATCGGGGGGAAATCACATTGAGTGTGCACAAGTTATTAGGATGAACGTAAAGAAGGCAGTTCACGCATAAGCACTGGTATGTATGACTGGAAACTAGTTATGTGATTTCTTATCAATCGCGCCCTCTAACGACGAATTGCTTATATGACGCCCAAAATGAGTGTGGTCGTATAGTTTTTCGTCGTATAGAATTTAGCAAATCTCTAAAACAACATATCTTTAAAACGGACGCATCAAGACAATATCGACGTCATATGAGGCGTTCTTTTTACTGCGTGACACCACACACGCACATTTGGTTCACACGACTATGCAGTATTATTTAGGAATGCATGTTTGAAGTAGACATTATAAACGTATATCACAATAATTCTTTAAATAGATTTTTCACTAATTGTATTCAGTAGTGACAATTTCGCAATGCTTTAACGGCTTGAGACACATCCATGGTAATCAAGTAATCGTGCCAACGGCTGTAGCAATTGGCTGATTGCATGTTTACTCCGCCAGGCCTTAAAGCTTTGTTGAAGTTTTGTGTAATGAACAAATGTGTATTTTTAGGGAGCGAACCTGGCATTTCTACGTGTGAGTGTAATTTGCCAAGCTAATCAAAGTTCCCCATACACTACCTAAGTTCGTAAAACCTTACACACATACAGTCATGGGGTGTGTTGTCGCTAGAGGGCGTGTATTAGAAAAATCGATTATCGCTTACTCGCAAACGTGCCACAGGTCGAACCCGTCCACCCAGTTGTACACGCGCAGAAAAACCTATCGTGATTACTGCTAGTGAAACACGTGCCTCCATTCAGACAAGGATTGGAAATACACGGCGTTGCAGTAACTGGAATGAAAACAAAGACAAAACAATCAATAACAAGTTCATAGACACACACATGTATCTCAAGTAAAACATCAAGTCATGGTTCAGTTGATGTGGAAGCTACAACTGCAATAAGGAGTTGAATTCCGGTCATCATTATTTTTCTACTGCAGGTGACGTCACACCCACTATATTTAGAGATAATGAAATATCTTGATTTGCAGCATTTGTGCATATTTATAATACAGACAAATTGTCTAGATCAATTGCATATTAATAAAGGTTCCCTAAAAACAGAGAATTGAATATATCGGCACAAAATTAACAAATCTGATAGAAGTCTACCCAAGAGTTTTTTTGTCGGGTATCAGGGCAACCGACCTAGCGGGTTTCGAGGTCGGAAATTCAATTATTCAATGGATATACGATGAAAATTCACCTATGGGAATAGCTGCACTTGAATAAAATATCATGCTTTTAATTTGTTGCCATGGGCTTTGTTGCGGTTGTTGGGGACACGTTCACTTAACACCCCTGAGCAATGCAGTTGATATCCGTTTAGTGGTAAAATGTATAAACAATATTCAAAATGTACTTTAACTGTTTCAGATAAAATTACAAAATAGTAAGTTTTAATAAAATAGAAAATTCCTAAGCCGTACAACGCGTACCAGGAACCCATCACATTGTATTGTACCAGGTTTCGTTGAAATTTGTATTTGCATTATTGAGAAATCGGTGTACAGGGGCGTTCATTTGCGCAAAATGGACTGAAAAGTGTTAATTGGGCGATATATTGCAGTTCAATTTAACAAATTTGTAACTCCGAGACACTGTACATTCACAGAAATGTCGAGTATTGCTTAAGCCACAAGTATGGCGAAATAGAACATTATGTTGTGTGGGGGCGCCACGTACCCAATACATGACAATGTATACTAAGATGAACGTGAGTTAATTTATATCAACAAACGACTCTGTTACGATGTGTGTGTTTCAGGTGTATGTATATATTTTGATACTCTGTCGCCATGGCGACCTGAATCCATGAAGCGAATAGATAGATTGAAATGTTATTGCATGTGATGTGTGGTTATTGGTGTACAAATGTGCGATGAAAAGAAGATGAAATCAACCATTTACACTCCAGAACACTTTATTAGTATTTGAGGAGTACAACTGATTAGTATGAATTTATGTAAACATGTAAAGTGATGAAATTAAATCCCAGTGACAATGTATTTTTCAGTGGATACTTACGTTCTGCGCAGGTATTGCCGGTATAAGGTTCTGCGCAGGCGCACACGAAAGATGTACCACTAACTGAACACGTACCCCCGTTTAGGCAAGGATTTGGATAACATGCAGCAGTTACTGAAATACAGAAATATTATTGAATCACATAAATCAGAAAACAAGAATACATTTCACACTACAGGCGACGTAATATATGTGAAAGAGATGGATTAAATGTGAATATACATTTGTGATTTAGAGACTTTTAGTATTACGTAATGCACAGTTCCGCCTTTCATATCCTTTAAAGGGCGGCAGCCGTCGTGCCGCGTCCTGTTCGATAGCGACGTATACCACGCGTTTAAAATACATTGTTTATTTACATGAAATTCGAACACGCGCTGTGCGACGACCACCGCGCTTTAATGTTATAACACCTACCGACGACAAGGGGTAGTAGCAAAACCTTTGAATAAAACTTTTTTTGTTGTAATACCAAGTATAATAGTGTTCATACTATACAAGATGACCAACAATTAAATGCATGCAAATACAGAAAACGCATGGCCGTTAACTACACATTGCGTCGACTCTACGATCTGATCATGCTTTAATGTGTGACCAATATTGGGTTGACAAGACTCGATAATAACATCTATTTTTGAATGGGAACGAGATTGAAGATGGCAGCTACTGTCACTTTACATTAGCATATATTCATACATCATAAACACAACACACTGAGCTCCTGGATACTGATCACCATTACAATATTACTTAATAATTATAATTTTAGCGCCATGCAGCTTCCTTCAAAACCTATGATGCCATATTTGAGTTGTGATGTGCATGCAAGTGCCGTGCAGTTACGTATGGCATTGTGACAACTTTAAGTGGTGTATAATATGCATCACTAGAAACCAATTACCCTCCACGATCAATATCTGGCTGTCAATCATTTTTATTCACGTGCATCATTATTCGACATACCATTACAAGTGGGACCGGCCCACGTACTCAAACATGTGCAAATGAAACCGTCGGTATCAATGGATGTACAGGCACCTCCGTTCTGACATGGGTTTGGGTCGCAATAATCAGCTGATAGTATGAAAAGAAAACATCGATGCGCAAGTATTATTAGCGCATCAGAACAGCGACTGTGCTAGAAGCAACGTTCAAGAATGTTCGTGGTAGTAGTCACACAAAGAGAACAACTATGTGTGAAACGATATGAAATGATAATGAATTTTATGAAATGATAATGAATTTATTATGTTAATAACGCTACACTTAATACTAATGATATCGCATGCCAATCGCATCACAGTCATATCGCACCGCATCACATCACATATGAACAATATTATCTGCAGCAGAAATAATCAAAGTTCCGTTTTAAAAACAACGGCCACGGTAATGTACATCCACATATGTTAGCATATTACAAATAATGTTTCCCATGTGTGATATAGGTGGTATATATAACTTACTTATTGAGTTTTCACAAAACGTGCCTGTGAACGAGTCTGCACATCGGCAACTGTAACCATCCCCAAATTGTAAGCACGTTGCGCCATTTTGACATTGATGCTGGCTGCACGGGTTGTTAGCTAATACAAATCAAAATCACATGTTACAGTATATAATGGAATGCCTAACATACTAATCACAAATTCAACACGCCAATGCATACAAAACAAACAAACAGTTGACAAATGTGCCACACTGCATAGTAAAATAATGATATATAGGCCTGGACCTCATGGTTCACATAAAATAACGCCAGATGTTTCGAAAAGAGTGAGTACATTCAGCGCCACATGTGACACACGCCATATATTATTCATAATCAAGTCATAATCAAATGGTTTGCGTTGGAAAAATATATGTTGTCTGTGCAAAAAGCACCGAATTCATATATACATGTATATGTATATAGATGTTAATGGCAGCTGTTATTACGTAATCAGGATTTTTTAAGGCTAACTCTTCGTGCTCTTAAAACATATATAGATTTAAGGATGATGCCAATATTTCTATGCCATCTTTGATAACATTATTTTTTTGTACTTTCCTTAATCTACATTCAGTTCGTTTGTGTACATTTTGAAACCAATATGACTGAAACACATGAAATAAATCGACCAAATCACTTAAAAATAAATAAAATTGATTGTATTGTTATGATGCCCTGATTTATGTATTTGCATACTTTTGCATAATTAATCATTCAACAAATGTAAACAAGCTTACTGGCATAACCCGCATCTGTTGTTTTGTTTTGTTATTTGAACGCACAATATGTAATGAATGGTATATGTAAATCGGCATTTTTGAACTTTCTGACCTGAAAATTCAAAATAATAGAGGTCAGCATTGCCTTAACCAATTTATCTGAAATTCTCGCATCTGTCCTGACACATATTTGGTAATATAAGCGTATCATATATTGGATAACATTTCTGGAATGAAAGTAGTCGCGTTTTCAGCATCAAAATAGTAATTTATTAAACAATTTTGAAATCGATACTTTGAATAATAATTTCTGAAAAAAAAGAAAATATTCTGAGAAAAAGTATTTTGTATTGACAGTTTTTACTTTATATTCTTTTGATGAAAACTTAATTCGTTTAAGTGAAACATATTTGGAAAACTCAAACAAAACCATTGTTTTATTCGAAAATAAATATAATTTTCAGAATCTTCAGAATTACAATGTTAAAAGATACTTTATAATATGTGGATGATGATATGTAATCTTCATTGGGAAACATACACTGTATTTGATTTTAAGTGTCAACGATGATGGATCTCATCCTTAAAATGACTGCATAAAATATTTGGTATGTCAAACTTATAGCGGTATGTAGTGAACAGTTAAATAGTAAATGCGCATATAACCATTGGAAGGTCCCGGATAATGTTGCACTCCGGCTAACGTCTCGGATGAAGGTAATATGTTTCAGACGTGATGTTCTACCTTGTGCTGTGTTTTGTACCAACCAGTGCATTACTTACTTGTTTGTGTTTGGCATTGGTCGCCAGTATATGACGATGGGCACGTACAGGAATACGATGTTCCGCTGGGACGACAAGTTCCACCGTTTAGACATGGACTGAGATCACACACTGTGAACAAATAATAGATTAGTTTGCATGTAAAATGTATTTATTTGACTCAGTGGTTTTGACTTCTGGTAAACGGGTTTGCCACCGAGGCAAATCTTAATCAAGTCGGTTCATTCGAACCTAGACTACATAGATATATGTTGTTTGTGATGACTACTACTGTTTTGGTGGCACGCCGTGAGCGCGGCCCGCCGTGAATGTGACGCGGTACGTGGCGGGTCTTCATGCAGTAGTGAGTTCGAATGCTGCGTTCTATGGCACGTTGAAACACAACTGTTGAATTAGGTATGTTTGTTTGCATTCACAATTTATAATTTAAAAGAAAATTGTTATTTGTTGAAAAATAACATTAATGTGCTATAAGCACCATTTACAGGGTATGGCCAAAAAAAGATATTATACTAGACGGAAAGCGACAATTATCTGAAGAATATATAACTTGACATTGATAGATAGCTTTAATCCTATGACCTTTACAAAATTGAAATAAAATGTAAGGGACATTAAATCTATTATCACAAACTTGAAACAATGTATGTAATAGTATTGTGTAACCGGTAATTGTGAAAATTACCGTTGATATGCGTATAGAGTGCATTTCGTTATGAATTATTTTTAATATATTTCTGAATTTACTTGTCAAAATAAATTTTTCCCCCAAACATTTTGAAAACGTCTTTATCGTAGTGCTGAAAGTTTCCGAGGACAATTTACATGAGACAACATCATCTAGATAGATATAGATATGTCGACAACGTTCTCTGACGAAACGGTTGCATAATATTTAAAAACAATAAGAATAGATGGGCAACCTAATTAAATCAAACAAACCCAACCACGAGACTGATCGCATACACTATACAGTGGTTGATATCAGGTAGGCGTATTAGTGAACAGATATAAACGATATTTATTTCAAAACAGACCATCTGTCTACGCCAGTTATGATACAAACACCGATGAACGGTAAAAAAACAGCTTTATTGATGAGCAACAACAATGGCGGACGACCCGTCATGCACAGCGCCACTAAAGCTGCGCACACAACTATAAATACGAGCCGCTGGTGAACTATAAATACTAGCCACTAGCGCTAGTGAGCGAATATCGTGAGTTCACTATTCGAGTCAATTACTTAACACATTAACCAATCAACCAATTTGAAATCAGTCTGGCATATGAAAGGCGTCTGTGTGTCGTAATTGATAAGTATAGCCTGACGTACTGAATTTCCCGGTGATATGCTTCCATATTAATGATTACTAAAATACCTACATTGAATAATGGTATTTTTTAAATTGCCTTTTCATGTTATTAGAGTGTGGAATGAAAGCGTCACTTTCGCAACCTTCTGCACGTCATCAATATTGAGAAACCCCACTCGGATGTGAACGGATGTGGTTTCTTTGTCGACCGACCAGCATGCATTCGGAGTGTTATTTAGTTTTTGAGGAACGTGAATGTATCATTGATGAGAGCCCAACCCACGGCAAAAAGTGTTATTGTCAATTATGGAAACCATACAGGGCGCATAATTACTCGCATTGTCGATTCACAGGGGTGGCATATTATTGCTTAAAATCACAAATATTTTTAAAACTTATATTTGGATTTACAAAAAAATAACTTTTAT